AAATCTCTCTATACTCTCGTTCAATTAAAATTTAGTATAAATAATCAATAATTAATTAGATATAATTATTGAAAATTAATTTGAAAATGACGTCTTTATCATGTAATAAGTGTAGGTACCTTTCAAGTTTAAACTCCTACCTTAACGAGTCTTTATAAACAAAGTCGTGAATAGGTCCTTTAATCAAATTTTCGCGTACCCGACACATAGTACCGATCAATTTAGGGATTCTAAGTCTATTTTGCACTTTAGATGGTCGGTGTGTAACCGTTCTTCAAAACTCGAGTAAGTTCAGCTACTTTCATCATTGATGAACACCTACGATAATAAAACTTCTAAAATATGTTTGTGATTAACATCCCGTTATGATACATGTCTTAGTTTCGTAAAGAGTTTAAAACTCTTCCTAATCTTCACATTACAAGATTCCATTGCTTCTTGATTGGTTTTGGGGTCACTTTCAAAATCCAATAAATGTCACATTTATCTTTACCATCCAAATTGAATTTTGGCTCATGCTTTTGCTTATCTTAAGATTACATAAGGCGAACATCACTTCTCAATATTGATAGATTTCGGCTCCTTTGGATAGCAATGTGTTTACGATCTACTTTTTTTAGGGTCTAGCGTCTTATCTGGCACTATACTCGGTATTTGGATTTGATACCATTTATAATGATCCAAGTCCACCCCTTTGGCCTCTTACACATCGAAGTCAGTCTCTTAGTTTTAAAATGCGTCTATTAACAAAATATTTTCACACCCTTATAAGAAATGTTTTGTTCCCCTCTTCAATTAATGTGGAATCTCACACTAAAGTTCTCAACGTGTATCAGTTTTCACCATGAATTTTTCAATTACTTTATCGAAGTGTTACAATTTTTCTCCTTCGAATAAGTTCTAAAGCTGAGGTTATCAATATGTAAGTGAGATGTTCGCCGTTAGATTAGCTTCAATGTTACTCACAATCAAATATTTGAAAGGGTAAAAACTAAAATGGTCTATTAATTTACTATTGATGGTTAAAATTCTTGAATGTTTTCATTCTATTGGTAACTTTATAAATGGGAAACAAAACCCCATTTTCCCATGAAATCCAAAACACAAGAAGATTAGATTTTTTTTTCCACTTACATATGTCAAACAAAATAATAAAAAAAGTCATTATGACCTCATAATGACGTCATTTTATTAAACATAAAGTGGGAGACTGAAAAATATAAAATAGAGAAACAATAATTTTGTTTTTTAAGTATAATGTTTATTTCATCAGTTTCCACCTTGATTAAAATTTGGAATATAGACTTGATATCTAATAACTTCGTGTACGGCAAGATACTCACGTTACTTACTCCTTATTTTTAGAAGTCAAGACTATTCATAACGGCTTAACTTCACCGCTAGCAAATATTATCTACTTTGGCCCGTTACGCTTGATCCGTTATGTATCGTCGTTAGTTTCACAGTTTTAAAACACGTCTATTAGGGAGAGATTTTCACACTCTTATAAAGAATGCTTCATTCCACTCTCCAACTGATGTTGGATCTCACAATCTATCCTTTTGGAGTTCAACGTCCTCGCTGACTCACTGCTCGATATGTGACTCTAATACCATTTGTTATAGTCTAGATCCACTGATAGTAGATATTGTTAGCTTTGGCCCGTTATGTATCGTTGTAAGCCTCATCATTTTAAAAACATGTCTGATAAAGAGAGATTTTCTCACCCTTGAAGTACGTGGAATGAATGAGATATGGCAAACTCACCAATAATGGATTGAAAAAGATTGGCAAACTTATCTTTGGTGCTTCCCTTTACATTTTAATGCCTAATGTTTTTGCTCATCTTAGGATTACATAGGAACGACATCACTTCTCTATAATAAAAGATCGAGTTAGGTCCCATTTGGTAATATTATCTTTTGTTTTGGATATCAATATGTTCATGATGATGTGTGCTTATGCATACACTCACGGTTTTGTTTTCACGGAAATAGACAATATTTATCTAAAAAATTGTATCAATTTTGGTAACTTTCCATTATTTTATGTGCAGTAGGGGTGTATCTAGACCGAGTGGGTGAATCAGACTAACTTGAATAGAGTTCACAACTCAACATGACACAATCTAACCCAAACCTCTCTTTTTTGGATTGGGTCATTAAATTATAGTAGAAATTCTATAAAAGTCCAAGTCCACCACTAGCCGATATTTGTCGCTTTGGCCTGTTATATATCATCGTTAGCCTTATGGTTTTAAAACGCATCTACTAGGAAGAGATTTCCTCACTTTTATAAGAAATGTTTCGTTTTCTCTCCAGCCGATGTGGGATCTCACAAATTTATACCCGTAAAAATATTGATTCAAAGCTGATGTCATCACCATGTAAGCGGGAAGTTGGCCTCAATTTTTGACTTTAACATTATCCATGGATTAACTTAAACGTCATTGATTAAGACACATTAGCCTATATATATGAATTTTCCACCATTAGCTAATTGGTTTAGTGTTGATTAATAATGAAATTAATCAAACTAATTATATTTTCAATTCATAATATTTTTACTGTTTTATTTCAATTTAAAAGAGATGATGATGAAATAAAGTGAACAAAGTGACATGAATGAAAGTTACATATTTTTCATTGATTAAAGTGTAAATATTACTTAAATACATAAAATTAAATGAAGAAGGAAAAAGAATGAAAGGTGATCATTATATTATTTTCCACTAAATGACAAGAGACCACAGGTGAATTCAGAGACACACCTGAGATTTCCCCTTGATTGGAAGGAGGAACAAAACATTTTTTTAGAAGGGTGTGAAAACCTCTACTTAGTAGACGCGTATTAAAACTGTGAGGCTGGTGGGCCAAAGTAGACAATATTTGCTAATGGTGGACTTGGGGTGTTATAAATGGTATCAGAAGGAGACACCGAACGATGTACCAAAATATTCTTTATAAGGATGTGGAAACCTCTCTCTAATAGCCATATCTTAAAACCGTGAGGCTGATATATAACAAGCATTATAATGGTGTGGAAACCTCTCTTTAGTAACATATTTTAAAATTGTGAGGCTGATATGTAATGGGCTAAAGCGAACAATATATGTTAGCATTAAAAATATTAAATGACAAAAGAAATGGGATCAATTCAGTTTAATTTGACCGTTTGAGTTGCATTATAAACTTATTTAGATTGAGTTTGATTCAAATAAATGAAAAATTTATGAGTTGAGTTGGCTTATAGAGTACTTTAAAACTGAGTCCAACCAACCAATCTATTCAAGTTCACACCCATATATTAATTTTTATATATATATATATATATATATATATATAAATCCCCTCTTACTTTCTCATATGATATGATCCACGCCCTTTCAAAGGGCAACTTTCTTAGTGTCATAAGTTCGAGTTTCATAGTGATTAATTAAGGAGAAGATCGTAGATATACAAATAAAGGACACTACACTATTGTTGAGGTTTATTGTTCTTATTTGTTGTTGTAAGGGTGTGAAAACCCCTCCATAGCATACATGTTTTAAAAACCTTGAGGAGAAGTTCGAAAGGGAAAACCCAAAGAGGACAATATCGGTGAGCAGTGAGCTTGGATCGTTAAAATGATATCAGAGCCAGACACGGGGGCGATGTGTTAGCGAGGTTTTAAAAACTTTGAGGAGAAGTTCGAAAAGAAAAACCCAAAGAGGAGAATATCGGTTAGTAGTGAGCTTGGACCGTTCGAAATGATATCAGAGCCAGACACGGGGCGATGTGTTAGCGAGGAGGCTGAGCCCCAAAGGGGGTGGACATGAGACGGTGTGCCATCAAGGACGCTGGACTTTGAAGGGGGGTGAATTGTAAGATCCCACATCGGTTAGGGAAACATTCTTTATAAGGGTGTGAAAGCCCCTCCATAGCAGACACATTTTAAAAACCTTGAGAAGAAGCTCGAAAGGAAAGACCCAAAGAGGACAATATTTGCTAGTGGTTAGCTTGAATCGTTACAAATGATATCAGAGCCAGACACCGGGCAATGTGCAGCGAGGAGGCTGAGCCCCAAAGGGGTGGGCATGAGGCAGTGTGCCATCAAGGACGCTGGACCTCGAAGGGGGGTGGATTGTAAGATAACCCAAAGAGAGGACAATATATATCTGCTAGCAGTGAGCTTGAACAGTTAAAAATGATATTAGAACCAGACACCGAGTGATGTGTCAGCGAGGAGGCTGAGCCCCAAAGGGGGTGGGCATGAGGCGGTGTGCCATCAAGGACGCTGGACCTCGAAGGGGGATGGATTGTAAGATCCCACATTGGTTAGGGAGGAGAATGAAACATTCATTATAAGGGTGTGAAAACCCCTTCAGAGCAGACACGTTTTAAAAACCTTGAGAAGAAGCTCGAAAGGGAAAACCCAAAGAGGACAATATCTGCTAGCAGTGAGCTTGGACCGTTACACATGATATCAGAGCCAGACATCGGGCGATGTGTTAGTGAGGAGGTTGAGCCCCAAAGGGGTGGACACGAGGCGACACTGGACCTCGAAGGAGGTGGGATTGTAAGATTCCACACCGGTTAGGGAGGAGAACGAAACATTCTTTATGAGAGTGTGGAAACCTCTCCATAGTAGACACGTTTTAAAAACCCAAAGAGGACAATATCTACTAGTAGTGAGTTTGGATTCTTACCAATGATATCAAAGCCGGACACCGGGCAATATGTCAACGAGGAGGCTGAGCCCCAAAGGGGGTGGACACGAGGCGGTGTGCCATCAAAGACACTGGACCTCGAAGGGGATGGATTGTAAGATCTCACATCGGTTGGGAAGAAAAACGAAATATTTGTTGCAACGGTATAGAAACCTTTAAAGGAATGTTGTCGTGATCGGGGTAAATTTTGATTGGTTGGTGGAGGAAATACGAAATTTCTTTATTTTTATAATGAATTGAAGGGATACAAAATGAATGAAAATAAATAGAGATGAAATTGTTGTATTTGATGTTTGGCTGTACATTCATGTTTCCAGCAACTAAGAAGACATCCAAATCCAAAGCTGAGGATCCAATTGCAAGAAAATTTCTATATGAACACATTTACAGCTATGTACCAAACCCCCAACCAAACCATCCTCAGAAAACGCCTCTTTCACTCACACCAACCAACCGACCGACCGACCGACCGACCGACCAACCAAACAAATGTTTCTACAACAAATGAGGCAAAATGACATTCAATATTGGTAGCAGAAGAATGATGAGTAGAACGATACCCAATATGACGGCATAGCAAGTCCATTTCCTTGAGCTTTTCTGATACTCCCGAGCTTCTTGGAGTTGCTCTGTTCCTCTTCTAACAAAGGAGTTGGCATGAGCCACATGGCTTTCGATGTCATTCAGCTGGTGTCCCTGGGCCTCCACCAGTGCTGCCATGTCCAAGAATATCTGATGTAGCTCAAGCAGATTCTTCTCGATCTCCTTCACTGCGTCGTGTCGTTCTTGAATCTCTGAAATGGTATCCATTATTTGACCTCTACCCTGTTCTTGAATTGCTTTCTGAAGGAAGCTCTCGCTTTCCCCACTTGATATCAAATTCTCTATTGTCTCTTCGTCTGCCTTCTGCCCTGTCACTGTGAAGTACCTGTTTCCAACCAACCAACAAACAAACCACCTCATTTTTTTCATGTATATCGTCGTCTCGACCCATTATGGGGTTGACGCCTTTGGGGTCATACCATTGTGGAGCTTTATGATTTCTAACATGGTATCAAAGTCATGCTATAACTTAGCCAATTAAAGAGTTGTGAGTCTTGGAGGTGTAATCAAAAGTGATTCAAGTGTTGAACAAATGGTGTATTTTGTTTTGTTCGAGGGCTCTAGAGAAAAGGAGACGAGCCTCGATCAAGGAGAAGTTGTTCGAGAGCTCTATAGGCTCAGGGGAGGTTTTATGGTGTACTTACGTTGGCTAATTAAGGGATTGCTCTTGTATTTATAAGAGTAAGGAATACATTTTCATTGGTATGTAGCCTTTTAATGAAACTAAAAGTAAAGCCACGAGAACTTATGCTCAAAATGAACAATATCACCATTACGGAGGTTCATGACTTCTAACATAATATCAGAATCATACCCTTAACTTAGCCATGTCAATAGAATTCTCGTCGAACAAAGAAGTTGTGAGCCTTAAAGGTGTAGGCAAAAGTGACTCAAGTGTCGAACAAATGATGTACTTTATTCCAGGGCTCTAGAGAAAAGGAGTCGAGCCTCGATTAAGGGGGCTGTTCAAGGGCTCGATAGGTTGATTAAGGGCAGGCTGTTCGAGGGTTCCATAGACTTCATGGGAGGCTTTATGGATCGTTGATAATTGTTGGGAGAAGAGTCTCACGTCGGCTAATTAAAGGGTTGATCATGGATTGAATACAAGGAATAGATTCCCATACAAGTAAAGCTACCAGAGCTTATATTCAAAATGGACAACAATTACCTGCGCTCGACGGTTTCTTTGTACTCGGCGTTCATTCGAGCTCTAAGCCCTTGAAAATCATCCATAACATCCTTAAGCTTCTTTCCCAAGCCGCTAACAACAGAGGTTCTGGTACGATCAGCAGAGGAGCCAGGGCCACAGCCAGGGAGGTTCCGATGAGCAGCATTAGAACGCTCAAGAGCCTCAAGCTTCCCTTTGATCATTTTAACACGCTTTAAAACCAGACCCACATCGCCCTCCATTCTAGACCTCAGCTCCTTCATAGTCTTAGCATTATGTACAATCTTACACTCCTCATTGTCCTGCTGCAATTTCTTGTACAAACTCTCCACCTGTTTCATGTCATCCTTAACATTCTCAACCTCCTCAAAGAATTTGTCCAAATTCACACTCTCATTCCCAGGCTCCATGCTGTCCAGAAACGCCTGTTCCTTCAGATCAGTGTATTTTTTGAAGGAATTGGAGAATAAATCATTCATTTTGGATGGTTTTTGTTTGGTTTTTTGTCAATCAAATGTTGTCCGAAATGGGTTTTCAAGGGGGATTATGGGTGTCCTTTTCTTTCCCTAGACGAAGCTGTGGGTCGATTGGCTTCGTCCAATGAGGAAGAGAAAAGGGTGGGTTTGGGGGTGAAGGAACAACCCAGAAAAAAGAAAAAAAAAGGAACAAAAGAAAGTGAAGTTCCAACACCCCAAGATGGGTATAGAGAAATTAGAGAAGGTTTGTGAATGGAATTGGTGTAATTAGAGATTTCAATAGGGATGAGCGTTTGAAAGGATTGGAGGGAATATCAACCACTTGGCGCCATTGTTCATCATGGCTCTTGACTTGGTCCTTTCTTTCCCTCAAATTACTCATCATTGCCTTCATATTTTTGTCCAATCAATTCTTCACGATATCATCAACACAAAGATCTTAAATTTTGGTGATATCATATAGAAATAGATGTAGATATGGTCGTCGTGCCCATATGGTCGATCAGATATAAGTCTTCGTAGCTAAAATTTTGATGGTAATATGGTTAAATTGGGTGTTATGGTCGAGAAGATTTAAGCTTGACAATTAAGTATTATGATACATGATATATATTTGGGTGACTAATCTTTAATAGTGATGTTATTTATAGAGCATTATTAATACTCAATATTTTTTTTTAAATAAAAATATAGATATACAAAATAAGGGATGATGTTATTTTATTGGTGGTTTATGGAGTTCTTCGGCCTTGTGGCTTAAGTGAGCTATCTTGTGGCACATACGTGTGTCATAGTGTGGGCGAGCGTGCCGAGGCGAGTGTCTTAAGAAACTTCCTTTGAAATGAGTTTTTCAAGGATAGTTCTGGGCGGCACGAGTGTGCCGGTATTGTGCCCCAGCCCACGTGTTGGAGGTTGATACAGACACCTGCTATTTGATACGGTATCCATAAATGACATGGCATGGGTACGAGAGGGTCAATGCCTCGATAGAACCCGGATGGATGTTCGAGATGTCGTGCTTAAATGGTTGACTTTATTGCATGGGAAATTAAAAAGAATGACGACCTTTTCTACTAAATAATGAAAAAAAAAAGTGAATTCCTAATTTTTCATAATCATCTTGTAAATTTTCTTGTGATACATGTGAGTAAGAACAAGAAATTAATGGGCCACACCAGTGTGTCATGGGGGCCCACTACATCACCGTCCTATTTTGGGCCACGTACCCATAGAATCCACGTGGTTGTGAAGATGTAATTAAAGGGAAAACCGCAAATAACTCTCCATCAACTTTATTATTTAAAACTTTTGTTTCAATTTTTGTAATTATTTGGTCGAGATTATATATTTTACTCATTCATTTATTTGTATGGTTTAGTCAAACCCAACGAATCGTAGCTATCATTTCTATATCGAAGAATATGTTAATGTTTTGTATTCGATGGATAACGCGTTCATGTGTCGTATGTTTCAACTCAGTTGATTGTGTTATATATACGTTACGGGTGTTAGTATAAAAAGTTGATATTCGAGACGAATTTGAAGCAATGAATTTGGATGTACATTTTTGACATAATGGGTGGGCTTGCAAGGTAGTGTGAAAAGAAAAGAAAGTTTTTTATCTTCAAAGCTAAGCCACACTCCATACATTTACATATGTTCTCTAACTCTCTCTTGTCCCATTTTTATAACAATTTCACTTCTTTTCTACTCAAAGGTTGTTCCATCCCCATCACTCTTTCTACCCTTTTCGTACCTAACACTTTTTCTTACCAAATTGACTATACTCGAAATAATTTCTAGGGTTACGAGAGTATTATATTCTCTCAGTCAAAGTCCACCGCTAGCTACCATTTGTAATAGTCTAAGCTCACCGTTAACAGACATGGTTCTCTTTGGGCTTTTCCTTTTAAACTTCCCCTCAAAGTTTTTAAAACGCTTATAGTAGGGAGAGATTTTCACACCCTTATAAAGAATGCTTCGTTCCCCTCTCTAACTGACGTGAGATCTCACAATCCACCCACTTTCAGTGTCCAGCGTTCTCGATCTCACGATAATTGTGAGATTCCACATCGGTTGAAGATGTGAATGAAACATTCTTTAAAAGGGTGTGGAAATCTCTCTCTAGCAGATATCTCACAATCCACCCACTTTCAGTGTCCAGCGTCCTCGATCTCACGATAATTGTGAGATCCCACATCGGTTGGAGAGGGGAATGAAACATTCTTTACAAGGGTGTGGAAATCTCTCCCTAGCAGATACGTTGTTAAAACTTTGAGAGGAAACCCGAGAGAGAAAATCCAAAGAAGACAATATTTGCTAATGGTGAAGTTGGGCTGTTACGGTTTGTACTTTGAGAGGAAACCCAAGAGAGAAAACCCAAAGAATACAATATTTGACAAGGGTAAAGTTGGGCTGTTACAGTTTGTTCATACGATAGTTCTGTATTTAGATGGCATTAATGTATCTTATCAACTGAGTTATGTTCATATTGGCGATTTCACATTGTTTTTAACGTATACCAAGTAAATAAAACGAGTATCAATACGTGCATATGGGTTCGTTAAATGTTGACCTATGCAAGTGAAAGACAACACAAATCTTTCACCTCACTCAACGAATTGCCTAACACATGCACTTCACTTCACATTATTGCAATCCCCATCAAACATTGGTTGCCAAACAAACCAACAAACCCCATTTCCTTTTCCTTTTGCTTTATCAAACAAATTAATAAATGGGGTTTGAGTTTTGGTTTTTGGGTGTTGAAAAAAATGAAAACTTTAATATGAATGAACATGTTTGGAGTGAATATATGGGTCGCTATTAGGGTTAGGAAGGCATGTGCAGATGTTGCAAAGGGCAACAAATGAGAGAAAATCAATGCTATATTACAACAAATACGTTTCATTAGTCCCACCAACATGTCCTACGATCCCCATACTAACTCTTTTCCTTTTTTTAATCTTTTTTTTTTTATAATTGGAACGAGACATTGTTGTCGTTAGCTCTCGAGGCATCTAAATCGACACCGAACGAGTTCTTCTTCTTCTTCACATGGTAATGGTCGCTCAAGTTTGTCATATAATTCAACATACATTTTCAAGTCATAGTTGAAAGCTCTACAATTTTAGTCGTTTCTTGATAGTTGTTAATATAGATTCAAAAAGTTGCATGCCCTCTAGTAATCTTAGTAATTGTTTATTTTTAGATGTTTATATAGCTCGAGAATCTGACGGATTGAGACTACTCAACTCACACCATAACTACTCGATTGGGTTAGATTTTTTTTTTCTTCAGTTTGGATTGGATTGAATTTTTTAGAAAATTGAAATTACGAGTCGTTTGCTAGTTGACATTTTTTTTTGTTAGGTCAATTCAACCAACCTAAAAATGATTAAAACACAATCCAACTCTACTGTAATTTTAAGATGATTAGGGAGATTAAGAATATTTTATATTTTATATTTATAACCGATGGTAGTGATGCGTTGTGACTTTAAATATAATATGTATTATAGATAAGTATAATTTTTTTAAAATAATTTTAAAAAAAAGAACAATCAGACAATCCAACCACATAATAATAATAATAATAATAATAATAATAATAATAATAATAATAATAATAATAATAATAATAATAATAATAATAATAATAATAATAATAATAATAATAATAATAATAATAATAATAATAATAATAATAATAATAATAATAATAATAATAATAATAAAAAAGTTGGGTCGTTCATGTCAATAACTCAACAAACCTAAAATTTCAAAAACAAATTTCAACCTAGTTGGATGAAAGTGCCACATCCGCTAATTTAAAAAATGATCATGGACTTATAAGTGGGAATACTATCTCCATTGGTACGAGACATTTTGAGAAGCTCAAAGCAAAGACATAAGAAGTTATGCTGAAAGTGGAGCATATCATAGTATTATAGAGAGTCATGTTCATCTAACAAATCCAACTCAAGTGGAGCATATCATACTATTATAAAGAGTCATGTTCGTCTAACAAATCCAACTCAACCTGTATACACTCTCGTGCTAATTATTATTATTATTATTATTTTGACGTATTCAATGTTAGACGAACACGACTCTCCACAGTGGTATGATATTGTCCACTTTGAGCATAACCTCTCATGGCTTTGCTTTGGGCTTCCCCAAAAGGCCTCGTACCAATGAAGAGTGTATTCTTAGATTATAAACCTATGACCATTCCCTAAATTAAACAATGTGAGACACTTTCATCCAACCATCAAAACCGTACGTATTGCTTTCTACTTGAAAAGCTAATTATTTGAGAATTTAATTGGAAATGAGATTTAAAAAAGTTTATAATTAAACGTCTCAAAAAGTTTGGACAAAATGCTAATTAATAGGGTTTGGTTCGTAGACTCTGAAAATGGTAGTTTTACGTGGAATCGATGTAAGATCTCATAGTTTTAAAACGCATCTACTAGAGAGACTTCACACTTTTATAAGGAAGGTTTTGTTCGTCCAGAGATGTAAGATTTCACAATAATCCACCGAATGTTCTAGCTGATACATCGCCCGATGACGGACTCTAATACCATTTGTAACAGCTCGTCCAAATCTAACAAATATTGTCCGTTTTAGCTCGTTACGTATTATCGTCAGCCTCACAGTTTTAAATCATATTTACTGGAGAGAGGTTTCCACACTTAATGCTTTGTTTCCCACTCCAACCGATATTGAATCTCACATTAACCTTCGTAAATGAATTAATCTTGACTTATATTTATTTTTACTTATTAAATACTAATTTTATTTTGAATTACATTCTAGTAATAATTTGAGCATATCAATGTATCTCAATAATAATAATAATAAATATATATATATATATATTTTTAACTACTTTTAATATTATGTAAAATAATACGGAAAAAGTAAAAATGATTGTTCCAAGGTTTTTACTTTTTTTTCTTTTAGTAAGTTATAAAAATCAATAATTATTAAAACAAATTAAGAGAAAATAAAAATTTAAGAAATAGTTATGTGAATATATTTTATTTATTTCTTATAGAAAAAAACTTTTAAAAGTTGCTTTTACAAAGCATTCTCATCATCACACATAGAAAAAAATAAAAATAGTATAAAATAAGTGAATTTTAATTTAAAAAGGTTAAAAATTAAAATTAAAATTATTCTTATAC